TGTGTTTTTTGCAGTTTTTGTATTCGTGAATCCATGAAAGGCCGCTGTGTACGCTTTTTGAGATCTCAAATTTTTCTCTTGAGTGCCATTCGAGCCTGCTGTTCTCACGTAAACCCAACAGAGGCTGATGTTTACTGACGAGCTAACTGGACAAACTGGTTAACTGGGGAAAGCTGTCCATACGGAGGTAAGCGGTCAGCTGGTAAGTGTGAAAAGAAACAGCATCATGCTACCCTGTAGTGTTCTTTAAAAAATTAAATGCAGCTATATGTACCTTTGGCTACATATTTTGCTTACTCCAGAAATGTATATATTTTCAGAATAAGCCTATGTTGAGAGCTTCAGTTAAAAACAACAGTTAAAATCTGCTTCAAGTTGGTGAGGTACAGTTCATGGAAACTGTTCATACATAATGTTAAGAGTAAGTCCTAAACTGTCCTAAATCAGAGTATCATACAATCATAATCAGAATAATACATATAATAGCTTTGCATTAAGTGCAATGATTTATTTCCAATAAGTGTATGACTTAGAAAAGCAGAGATAAATAAAACATCAAGTTTATGTGTTCATGTTTACATGTTGATGTAAACATATCAATATTCAGAACCACTTTTTTTCTGAGGAAAGAAATCAAGAGGATAATGCAAAACAAGTGAGATCAAACCTTTAACTCAATCAGTTGAATCAGTGTGTTAGGTTATGAAACATGATATCCTGTTCTTTTGACAAATAAAAGCCCAGAACAAACATTTAAGCTCCAAAGCACAACATTAACAGCTGTACATGCACCTTACTATCTAGATTTACATGGCCAGCAGTGGTTCATGACAACTTTAACAATCACTCATAACACTAGGACTGTAGCAGCAATTTTATTACAGTCAGGGAAAAGTTTAATTTTGTTTTGTACAAATATACTAGCTTGATTCAAATTTCGAATTGTATTGAAAACAGTAAATGAGCCACAGCCTGACTGAGAACTGTTTCTGTAATTTCCATCTTGCTGCATCAGCTGAACACCAGCATGGGGCCCCATATGCGCATCTCACACTCTGCTCCCAGTGGGCACAAGCTTTGGGCACCGATACTGTCCACACATCTGCTTGGCTGCCAATAGTGCCAGCTTCCACTTTCACTGCCCTGGTTATTGGGAAAGCCCTGCTCCTTCCTTTCCATCTGGGCTGGCTAATGCAGATAATTTTAGAGTTCTGTTGCCTGGCCCAAACGTACAATTTAGTCATTTGTGTTCATGCGCACATTCCTTCATCTCTGAATGAAAGCTTAATTCCTTATGAAATTTGAACCTACATTTAGGATGTACCTAGTCAGACTCCAGTGCGTCATTTACAATCTGGATTTAATCTTCATTTTACCTTTTTAACATATTGTTCACCCAAATTGAAAATAAACACATTATTTACTTATCCTTAAGTCATTTCAAACCTTCATTAGTTTCTTAATGTTGCTGCACACTGAAAGATTAATTGAAGAAAGCCGAAAACGAATAACCATTGACCTCCATAGCTTCCACCTTCTTTTGTGTTCAACAGAAGAAAGAAACTTAAACACCTTCGGAACAAGTGAACGGTGAGTAAATAATGACACACAATTCAGTTTTTGGTGAACTATGCTTTTAAATCATCCCAGTAGACACACATCATAAGACGTTAACATTAGGGTAGATTTAGGTCACCAGCATCTAAAGACAATGCTATTTTCACGTCCAACAACAACAACATTGATATTTGATTGATCTTAGGTTGTGGTGGCAAGTGAACGAAATCCAACATCGAGCCAACATCTTAAACCAAAAATCACATGGACATCATATACTGACATTTATTCGTCAGGTATGACGACCAAAATCCAATGTCAGATAGACGTCATATTGGATATTGTCCACACGACTTCAAGCTGTAACATCATAAGATGTTGATATTTGGTTGATTTTAGATAGTGATGGAAAGTCACCAAAATACAACGACTGACTGACATTGGACATTGACATTGGCCTGATGTTGGGTTTTGATGTCAACCTGATTTTCGTTTCAAAATAAAATAAAATGTCCCACGATGTTGGGGTACAACGTCAATCTGACGTCATGTTGACATCCTGTGCCTGCTTGGATTACTTGGACAAAATTTTTCACTGTGTCCTTACCAGATATAAGGTAAGGAATATCAGGTACACTCTCAAATCCAACAGACATGACTGACTTTACAGCTTTGGATGAACTATTCCTTTAAATCAATATTCTGATTAAATTTAACACTGTGTCCTAACCAGATATAATGTTGAGAATATCAGGTACACACTCAAATCCAAACATACAGACATTGCCTATGCTATATCGTGAACATTGCAATGTTAAACTATGCCTGTTTTCAAAGCAGAATAACTCCAGTGTATGGGTGCTGAAGGCCAGCTCTGTTCCTGACATATGCTCTGGGAAGAGGGCAGACTGGAGTCAGGTCCAGTGTCATGTCTGCAGCGTGGTTTTCCCCATCCCGCGTGGTGAGGATCGCTTATCCCCCTGCAACTGCACATATGCTCAGGACATGGAACAGTTGGACGTGGCCGTGGGCTAAACTGGGTCAGGCTGGCACAGATGGAGCCAAACTCCCAGTGGGTCACCAGAAACTGAACAAAAAAAAGAGGACTGCTGTCTTTGAATCTTGACAGATATAATCTGTCTCCTTTGGAGAGAAAAAAAAGAAAAGAAAAACAAAACGTGTAAAAAAAAATTCTATCCAATCTGGGTCGGGTAGCTCTGAGGATGGCAGGGCTTAGAGCATAATGGATGTCTAGTTCACTTTAAAAAAAAACAAAGCCTGACATGTTTTTGTCAAAAGTGCTGCTTGATGTTGCCTTAGCTGCTCCACTCTGATGCAAGTACATCCTCCCTGTACCTCTCAAATATAGCACAGTTTGTTGTTTTATTAAAAGGCAGCAATGTCTCAAATCCTCTGGAGGTTGTGCATCTTTTGCAAAATTTAAAGAACATGACAGTCACCCCTAAAGAGACCAAATGATGCTTTCTAGATGAGGAAAGCTTGTAACCGCTTTAGAGTGTTGATATGTGCTGAACTGCAATCTTGGGGAATATCCTAGCAGATAAGACATTGGAAGACTTCTTGGTATATTATTTAAGAGTCCAGTGTCCAGAGTAATCCTGTGTTTCCTTCAAAATGACAAATGTTACCCGACTAAAAAACTGAAACAAAAAGGACCCAACAGAGAACCATGGTGCACTCAAATGGAATAATCCAAGAAAAGGTGATCTTTCTGTAATATTTTACAGTTAACATACTCCTCAAAGCTTGTTAAGTAATACTTATTCATGGAATAATCTCAAAACATTCTTGTGTAACAGAGTACAAAGGTTTCCACGTGATAATGCTGTGAACTTCCTCCAGAGATCTGATGCCCAGCATTGAACAAACTAATCCCAGATGCAGAGTTGTCCTCCTGTACACAAGTCTTCCAAGTATGCAAAGCATTTGTTTGTGTGTGCCACGAGTCTAGCATGTGTTTACACAACTGTATCTCTTGGAAGGAAGTCAAGTTTGCAGCTGCAGCACCAAATAATTCATCGCCCGCTCCGCGCCCAGGAGAAGCCACAGGTAGTTGATGAAGTGGCAGTGCCAAGCATCCCAACTGGCATAGACAAAGCGCAGCTGCTGAGAGTCAACGCAGCCAGATGCCGCCGTCAACGTGCCATGTGTTCTAAGAGGGGCAAGAGGGGGAGAGTGAGGCGCTTGCCAAGGCATTCTCATCTGGTGCCAACCTGACACATGTTTTTGGAACACCCCTTGATTTCCTTTCCCCACTCACTCTCCTAATTTTTCGGAAAAGAGGGGGCTTCTCTCTTCTCCCGTAGTTTTTAGCGAATCCTGAGCCAACCGAATGGGATGCTGGCGCCCACTGCCGGACATGTTACCTGCTAACACCATATCTGAGAAAATGCAGGGTTGGCGGACAGCCATCATAGCCGCGCGTCAAAAATATGCTCACCGGATTGCCTTCTGCTCTTTGGTCAACCTTCGTTCTTCTTTCCAATCCAATCGGACATGCTTGTAGAGCAGCAGGAATTTCAGAATATTTACCAAGAACACGCCTGAATCCAAGCCACAAAGAAAAGCATGCAATCCCTCAAAAAATAAGGATGTTCCCTTAAAACATCTTCATGCAATGCAAAGCGTTGAGAATCAATAATCTGTTAAGCGTTTAAAGCTCTGAGGAGGGTTCCCTCGCTTCCAGCTCTTTCTGTGGTTGTGAATGAATCGTTCGTTGACGATACTACTTCTCAAACTGGAGGGGAGATTCTGAGACAAAGCTTTCAATTTGCAGGAACATGCCATCCCTATTTACCATGGAGGGGTTTAGGGAAGTGAGAACTTTTTGAATGAGTGCCATGTCTGAACAATTCTTATTTGAGGCCCGCGACTGCCAGCTGGTGGCTAAGTATGCCCGTGCTGTGAGCTGATGCCAAAACCAGTTGGCATGATGAAGCTTGGGTGAGAACAGTGCGATGGCAAAATGCATGCTTAGATGTCCAGACTCACCAACTTCAGTCCATCTGTCTGGCTGTCTCAAACATTTTCGCTTTATTTTTATGTATGTTTATGAAGCATTTGATTTTTTTTATTTTTTAAGCATTTGATACATTATTTAAAACTTTATTTATATATTGTATAATGTTGTTGTTATTACTGACTTTTATTCAATTTATCATAGCTACATGCTGATGGAAAGGCCACATTTCTATTTTGTGATATCTATATCATTAAAATGAAACATTCTTCATTCAAGATTTTTCTCATGATAATAAAGTTGACTTACAGTTTGTTTGTTTTTTTACTTTATTCTAGTCTCACTTACAGTAAAAGCCAACATAAAATCTGAAGACAATGTTCAGTATTATCAAACAAGGACAAAGTCCGAGTCAAGAGTAATAGAGATTAAATGAAGGTTCCGCCTAGCATCGATTTCCACACGGATGCATTCAAACGGTGCACCGCATCCAGTCTGCCCTGACATTTGGTAAGAAGCATTTCACTCTGTGCATGTTTCATGATAGTCTTAGAATTCCAGTATGGTTTTTTACGTAGCATTACCTCAGAAAAATATAATAAAGACTTACTTTCAAGGTGTCCATTATAAGGACTCCTCAGAAGAGTAAGATACGTGGAATAACGCGTTGAATGGTCATTGAATGAACCACTTTTGTTTTGAGACTTTGAAAGATCCAAGCAATCTTTACCAGTTCTTATTGTGAAATACAATGTACGAATGAATGAACAATAAAGAACAATGTATTAACCAGTTATTTTCCATCATAAGTACGTTTCTTAGATACGTTTAAATAATGACAATAGGAAAATGGGAAGGGGTTTTAAAATGTAAAAATTAAAAGACCCCTACAAATTCTGTGAGTATCAGATTCACAGGATACAAGATAGATTAATAAATGTCTCTATGTATTTATATACATTTCATTTTACTTTTATAGAAATGATGATAACCTTGAAATTAACATGTTAATAATGTTGATTACTGTACAAAAAAAAAACAATTCTTTAGTTTGTTATAGTTTATGTATTTACTAATAAGAAGAAATGATAAACAATGCTTGTGCAGCATTTATTAATCATAAGTAGGGCGAAACAGAATCTGCAGACATTTTTTGCTATTTCTGCGCTGAATTTGGTTAAAAAATCTGCGGATTTATGCAAAATGATTTTGGGAGTATCATAACTAAAACCTTAATATATAAAAATAAAAACTCATTTTTATTTTAAGTTTTCATTTAATGTTTGCAATGAAAATTTAATAAGATCCACTTAATTGGAAAACAAAACAAGTCTCTCATAACATTTCTACTAAAAGACAGGAAATATTATTTTACAAACTGTATTGTAGATAAATCAAATGAATATTTCATATTAATCAATAGTATTACTGAACTTAATTTAAAACTAATAAATATAAATATATAAATATTAATAAATATAAATTTACACACATTTACACAAGTAAATAAACAGAATCAATGACAGTCTCAAAATCTGCGGACGCAGATGCCTTGTGGGTCTAATCAAAGGTCAACATTTACAAATTCATTCTTGTTAGCATGCACAAGTTGTTAATGCGATGTGAGTTACAATAAACTAAGAATGAACAACTTTAGTTTCATTAACTAAATAAATACTGCAATTAATGTATGCATTTAACAATAAATGCAAGAAATAACACTAACTAATGCAAGCTTGTTTTTTATTAGTAACTTTTCACCTTCGCTCATTAAATGTTAAAAGAGTGTAATTCAGTTTAAGAAAATGCAATTAAGTCAAATTTCGAAACAAAAAGGTTTTGGTCCAATAAATAAAATTATTATTGTTCTTATTGTTATTAATATTAATTTGATAACAACAACATATTTTCTATACTTTTATTTATGAAATTGACATCTTTCATGTCAAATCTATTTTTAAGATTTTTTAAAATTAAATATACATGTGTTGTTTTCAGACATAAAGTAAGGTACAATATGATAAAGAGTGCCAAATAATAATATTAATAATAATAGTAATGGGCGTCACAGTGGTGCAGTGGGTAGCACGATCACCTCACAGCAAGAAGGTTGCTGGTTCGAGCCTCGACTGGGTTTGTTGGCATTTCTGTGTGAAGTTTGCATGTTCTTCCCGTGTTTGCGTAGGTTTCCTCTGGGTGCTCCAGTGTCCCCCATAAATCCAAAGACATGTGGTACAGGTGATTTTAAAAGGCTAAATTGTCTGTAGTTTATGCGAGTGTATAGGTGTTTCCTGTTGTTGGGTTGTGGCTTGAAGGGCATCTGCTGGATAAGTTGGTGGTTCATTCTGCTGTGGCAACCCCTGATAAATAAAGGGTCTAAGCTGAAAAAAAAAAGAAAATAAATAAATGAACAAATAATAATAATAACAACAACATATTTTATATTAATTTTGTTTGTAAAAATTGACATCTTTTATGTCAAATTTATTTTAAAGATTTTTAAAAATGAATTATGCATGTGTTGTTTTCTGGCATAAAAGTAGGTACAATATGATAAAGAGTGCCAATAATAATAATAATAGCAATAATAATAATAATAACATATTTTATATAATTTTATTTGTGAAATTGATAATTTTCTTGTCAATTTTATTTTAAAGATTGCTTAAAATTAAATATGCATGTGTTGTTTCCTGTCATAAAAGAAGGGACATTATAATAAAGAGTGCCAATAATAACAGTAAAATCAATAATAATAATATTAGTAATAACAACAACATATTTTCCATACTTTTATTTGTGGAATTAACATCTTGCATGTCAATTTTAGTTTAAAGATTGTTTAAAATTAAATATGCATGTGTTGTTTTCTGACATAAAAGTAGGCTCAATATGATAAAGAGTGCCAGTGAAAGCATTAAAATTTGCTTTTATTTAATTTTGTGTTCCCAAGTTTAGACCGATGACAAAGTTTGCTGTCAACTCCTGATCAATCCTCCACCATGCTGTCTTACCACGCGGTGTTTGTCAGGAGTCGCTCTTTAACATGCTCTCACCTTAGAGGCAGCAGAAGAGCCCTGAAGTGGCTTTTGGGAAACGTACAGCATAGAACATTCACCTTCTCCGACCTCATAAACTCTCCGGCTGGTGCAAAAGTTGCTCCCGTTTTCTCCAGAGCTCCTGCATATGGAGACAAGGTGGCTATTATGGATCACAGCGGGAGCCACACCTACCACTCCCTCTACAAAAACAGCAAAATCCTGGCAGGACACATCACTAAAGCACTCACCTGCCAATCAGGAGACCTGCAGGGCAAGCGTATCTCATTCCTCTGTGCCAATGATGCATCCTACACTGTGGCGCAGTGGGCGTCCTGGATGTGTGGTGGCATTGCTGTGCCCCTCTACAGGAAGCATCCTCTGAGTGAGCTGGAATATGTAATTTCAGACTCCCAAAGCTCGCTGCTGGTAGCTGGACAATCTTTTGTGGATACCCTTGAGCCCCTGGCCCAGAAACTAGGGCTACCCTGCCTAAAGCTTCCCGCCATGTCCAGCCAGTCTGAGGACACACAGACACTGCCCGAGGACATGATCTCAGACTGGGCAGAGAGGCCAGCCATGCTCATCTACACCAGCGGCACCACAGGCAGACCGAAAGGAGTGCTCCACACCCACAGCAGCCTGCAGGCCATGGTGAATATTTATTTATGATGTATTAGCATAGTAATGCTTTAATTTTGCATAGCACTTTTCAGGACCTCATGGTTATTTAAAAACAAATGTGTATAATGAGGGGAACCACTTTGTTTCATTACAAACAGACAGAGTAAATTAGGGGGAAACAACTGCAGTTTTATTTTATTATTATTATGGTTTTATCATTACTATTATATTTTTATATGACTTTATTATTATTATTATTATTATTATTATTATTATTATTATTATTATTGTTTTGTTGTTGTTTTAAACTAATATAATATAATATAGCATAATATTATATAATATAATATAATATAATATAATATAATATAATATAATATAATATAATATGAAATTATTATTATTAATATATTTATTATCATAAAAATTATAATATAGATATGATATTTGTCAATAAAGATAAATCACTGTAATGCCACTGAAGTGAAGGCTTTATTTTTATTATTATTGTTGTTACTGTTTCTAGCTAAAATAATAATAAAGATAATAATAATGTGGTGATAATAATAATAATAATTATTATTATTATTATTATTATTAAATAATAATAATAATAATTAATATTATTATAAATATTATGATTCTAATATAAATATAATATTAGTCAATAAAGATATATCACTGTAATGCCACTGAAGTTTAAAGTCTTTATTTTTATTATTAATGTTGTTGTTGTTGTTGTTTTTTCTAGCTAAAATAATAATAAAGATAATATTAATGTGGTGATGATAATAATAATAATAATAATAATAATTATTATTATTATTATTATTATTATTGTTATTATATAAATATAATATTAGTAAATAAATATATTTCACTGTAATGCCACTGAAGTTTAAAGTCTTTATTTTTATTATTATTGTTGTTGTTTTGTTGTTGTTGTTGTTGTTTCTAGCTAAAATAATAATAATAAAGATAATAATAATATAATAATAATAATTATTATTATTATTATTAGATAAATATTATAATTCTAATAGAAATACAATATTAGTCAATAAAGATATATCACTGTAATGCCTGATATATATATATATATATATATGCTGGCACCTGCCAATATGATGGCACCTGCCAATGTTGTGCAAAATAAAAATGGTTTGGTTTTAACTAATAATACCCATAAACTAGATACACTAGGGGTCTATCTATCTATCTATATATATATATATATATATATAGTTTAGGTCAGAATTATTAACCCCCTGTTTATTTTTTTTCCTCTATTTCTGTTTAATGGAAAGAAACACTTTTTCTAATCATAATAGTTTTAATAACTCATTTCTAATAACTGATTTATTTTATATTTGTTATTATGACAGTAAATTGTATTTTTCTATATATTTTTCAAGACACTTCTATACAGCTTAAGGTGACATTTAAAGGCTTAACTAGGTTTATTGGGTTACCTAGGCAGGTTAGGGTAATTAGACAAGTTATTGTATTATGATGGTTTGTTCTATATATTTTAAATGCCATTTCACATGATGATGTATTGCCATACTACTGAAAGCAGCAGCAGATAGTTCACCTCAGATCTTGAATAAAAATGTTTGAAATTGAACTTTAGACTTAATACCAACAAACATCAGGGATTCGGCATACATTTAATAATGTTAAAGAGGTTTAATGTTTATTAATAAGATTATTAACCTTACCATTCCGTGAGTGAGTGCATATATTGTGCATATATAAATAAAATAAAAAAAATATGAGTTGAGTTCTGTGATGTCATAATCTCTTTTGATGTTTACTGGCTCAGTCACACAAAAACAAAAGAATAAATTACAGAATATAAAGAGCCGTTAGTGTCCGACAGTTGCATTTCATTCAAAGCGTGATTACATATTAGTGGCACAAACCTAGATAACCTGATGAAAAGCACCAAAAGTAGCGGTATTGTGTTTTAGAGCAAACATTTTGACCTAATTCAGGACTGCGTGATTTGTGAGTGCTTGCAACAGCCCTGCTGCACATGGTAAACTGTCATGTTTATGCCACAACACAGTGAGGGGTATGTGGCCTTCATTCAGTCCATTTGACAGCAAACAGGTATTATTAATTCCCATTGCTGATTTAAAAGATTTGAGCACAATACAGCTTTGGCCTGTTTCTATGTGTTCAGTTTGATTTTCCCATGCTTTAGTCGTGTGGTACTTGAAAACACAATTAAGAATATTCTGTTTGTTTTTTCTCCTGCCTTGTAGGTCCAGGGGTTGGTTTCAGAGTGGGCATGGCATAAAGATGATGTCATCCTGCACACGTTGCCCCTCCACCATGTGCATGGCATCGTGAACAAGCTGATGTGTCCACTGTGGGTCGGAGCCACCTGTATCATGCTGCCAGATTTCAGTGCTCAGAAGGTAAACCTTTAGCTTTAAATACACCAAATTTGAATATCACACTTTCACGCATTTTTACATTTTCAAAATACTACTTTCTGTTGGCCATTCCCGATGAGGTCAAAATTTTTAATTTAGCAATTTTTAGTTATTTAGTAATTTAAAAATTTAGTAATTTCTTTTTTTTTTTTTTAAGCATGACAGTAAAACACTTACGCGGTTATGAATATAATAAAACATGTGCTTGTTTGCTGTGAAAGTTCATAATAATTACAAAAAATACTAATTTGTGGATCTCCTTACTTCCGGGTTTAACCATCTGCCGTTGTAGCTGGTGTATTCTGGAAAATTTTCTTACCCCTTGGTTTCGAGTGTGGTCCTGGAAAACATTCGTTTGAAGGACTATTTACCCTAAGCCCTACGCCTTTAAGCTAAAGAGAATTAGGAAACCCCTACCCCTTGACATGAACGTGCAAAACGAGAGGTAGGGGTAAAGGGAAGGCCTAAGGGATAGAATTGGAATTGGGCCTTAGTGTGTGCTTGTATTTAGCATGTGTATTTATATTTTTATAAATATCCCTTTAAATATAAGATTTGTTATTACTTTCAGGTTTAAACTGTCATTACAGACAGCATAATGATAATGATAGTAATGTTCTAGGTATTTGCTGTATTTATTACTTCTTATGTATCTCATTCGGTGCACACTCTTGATATGAAGACTTTACTACCTGAAAGACTGAAAATAAAGTTACTCAGAAAAACATATATATAAATATAATATAATAAATATTATGTATTTAATTAGAATATCCTCAGTAGAATATATTTAAAATGTTATGCTAATACGGAAAATCTCCCACATATCTACTTGAACAAATGTTGCTCACCTTTCAAGTAACTCAAAACTGTATTGCAGCCAAGGCCAAATTATAAGAATTGAATAATTCATAGCTTAGCTGGGTCTTCAGGCTATGCAGTCTCGTTTGTTCACTTCACCTCCCGAGTCTTCAAAGCCGAGTTGTTCATTCTTTTGTCATGTTAAAGGCTGAATCTATAACAGAAACAGAAATGATTAGTTCACCTCTTGAGTCTTCTGGTCATTTGTTCAGCACATGACAGATCCATACGATAAGTCTTTGCAGTCCATACTGAAACTAAAATAGTATTTTCATGTAAAATATACTTTCTTTCTTTCTTTTTTTCTTTCTTTTTTCTCTGTGCACTTCGAATAGAAGTCAGTGGCTTTTTTAATTGTGGATGCATCAAATTTTGGGCAGCTGAAAATTATTGGCCGACAATTTTATTATTATTTTATTATTATTGGCGATAATGTTTTCATTATGGATCTGGTATCCCTTAATTTCACATCCCAATTTTGACAGGTATGCGGAAAGCATTGTGCTATAAATCATATTAATTATAATGGTTGCATGCGCCATTACCAAAGTTTAAAATAGTTCAATATTCCTCTCGGTGGATATGTCAATAATGTGTGGTAACTATATAGTTATCTATGCAAGAACTGCACATGCTCCAGCAAAGTTCACTCAAACAACACACCAACGGGACATTTCTGTGTAGTATACTTATTCCTGCTGCTTGCAATAGCGCTACTGTGCTCTCATGGCAACATTGGTAAAATGATGCCTCTCAACTCGTACACTTTCAATAGAATTTAACTGTCAATAAAACATTGTTGTTTTATTGGCTTCAGTTTTTTTATCAGTATAATGGAAGTTATTGGGGAAAAAAAAATGATTACAAAACTTTTTCAGTTTTGGGTTTCTATGGAGAGCCTAAAGGGACGAGATGTTGGAGAAAAAATGGAGGGAAGAAAAAATAAACTGGGTGGAAAAAAACCCCAGAGTGATATGAAAATATGTTTTAAAGTTTTTGCGTTCCCTCGCAAAGATGTTTTGCATTCCTTCGCTAAAACTGCTTTTCCACAAACACTTCTTGTTCACTTTATACATGTCGTATCCGATAGAATAGAAAAACCTGAAAATATATTTTCTATCACTTTTTTCTACTCCCAACCAGTTTTTTTTTTCTTCCACTCATTTTTTTTTTCTTTCACCATTTTTTTCCTACCATCACGTCCCTTCAGGGTCTTCGAAGGTTTCAGCCAATTGCATCAAGAATTTTTGGTGTCGACTAAATTCACTTCACTTCACTTCATTGACAATTCTGTACAATTTTACAATGTCTTTCTCTAAAGCAGAAGGTTTTTAACAAAAAGCACTACTGCTTTTAATCCATCCTGTTTTTTACTGTTTCGATTCCTGTCCAGTACTGTAAATGCATTTTCCACTTGATTTAGCAAATTGACAGTGTGCCACAGATGCAATACTTAGACATTAAGTTGTAAAAAAAAACAAAAAAAAAAACAGATTATTCAACAAAGCCATTTTGTTTGTTTCACTGTGCACTCACAGCAAAACCTCTTTAGAGCAGCAAAATGGTTTTTGCAGAAGTCATGCTGCAGGCGTCAGTGAGTCAGGCGAGTGTTTCTCCCCTGAGGATGAACTTAGGAAACCTGCACAATGAAGTTGTGTGAGGCGGGTGGAGGAGGCCGCTGATCACCCTTATCGGGGACTTGTCAGAGGGATGCGCTAATTGTAGCTGTGTTGCTATGTGCCAGCGCTGCAGGCGTCAATAGCAGGACTCGGGAGCTGACAGGCACTGGCTCAAATCCCTGTGTGTGTGTGTGTGCGTGTGCGTGTGTGTGTAAAAGACACCCTGGACTGTCACAGCAAGCGCAGAGTTTTCGTGATGGATTGCCCAGTGTAGCTTTGTATCTGGCCACGCCAACTCTCGGTAAGGGCTTTAGAAGCAGATCAATGGATGGCGTGACATTGAGGAATGATCCGCGTTTTGTAAAGGGAGGGGGTTTACGGCAGAGAGCAAGCAAGCGGAAGGGTTTTAAGGTCCAGGAGAATTTAATGGGAGTCAAGGATCTGATTGACAAGAAAGGTCTGGAGAGGACAAAACCGGAGGGGGGGGGAGACATTCAGGATGACGAGAAAGTTAGATTTCTCAGTTTTCCCGCAGATATGACCTTGAGTGCGCATGTTAAAAAACAAACACCTTCTTTGAGGGATCAAACGCTTTCTTCACCGCAAGGGTTTTATTATTTACAACATGCGGTTCAGTAATTTTTAATGAGGCAAAAAATAATCAATATTTGAGCCACCATTACTTTGGCTTTGAGTTGTTTGAGTGATGAGCGCTCGTCTTAGTTCTGGTGGGAGCAAAACATGCGTGTAGATGAATTTATTGTGGTATGAATGCATTAGACAGCCTGCAGTCAGAGACTCTAGCATTATTAATGATGGGATGTAAAAGGTTATCCATCATGTGATTGTGCAGAGTGGGTGTTTGCTTCATGAATGTTGCTCATTATTGGATTTCAGTGTGCGTTTGTATTTTTATAGACTATTTCAGTGTGGTCATGGAACATTTCCTGCACTTTTATGTCCTTTGATCATATATCCAAAAATATATATAATTTTATTCATATTCTTCTTTTTTTTTGTCAAATTAACCATAAAACCTACTTTTAAAAAATGTACTACCTTTCTATTATAGATTTTGTCATATTATTCAACCTCCTTTTAGGTGTCACAATCACTGTTTTCACTTTGTCGCACACCCAGAGTTTTAAACTTCAACAATGAAAATAACATTTTAAAATATTATTCATCTGGTATCTATTAATGTATCCTAATTAAGCACTAGTGAAATAATTTAAATATTTTATAGTTATTAATGTGAAACTATTATCAATATAATTTTTTTAACAAAATATAGCTGTCGCACAGTATCAGTTTCATTTCCACCACAACACTGTAACTAGTTTAAACTAATTGCTTTAAGTTTGTGTGAAAGATTATTTAGGTGGTTTCTATGAAAATGAATAGTGTCATCTGAGAACATGTTCAAGATGGAGGGAATTAAAAAAAAATTATCAACCTATTATCTAACCCTAACACTTGAAAAATCAAGGTAAATATTGCTTGATAAAAAAATACATTTATTCTATGTCATTTCCAAACATGTTGTACCTTCAAAGATGTTTTTAAAAACCAAACAAAATTTAGGTAAATAACAGTGTTTTGTATACATGAAAGGCGTATTTTTCATTTTTTTTACAATTGACTGTTGAAATGTCATTTCCACCACTGTCATTTCCATCACTACACATATATATTTTTTAAATATTTAAAAAGTTCTCATCACACATTAAAAGTGTATTCACAATGTAAGTTCATGTTCTATTTAATATACAAACTCACTGTATTTATTTTCTAATAAGCTCTTAACCAAATTAATATTCAATTTTAGACTGTGATAAGTGTATAATTCAGCATACAACTACTTTATTTCATTACTAATGTATTTATTTCATTATTTCATCAGCATACAACTAATTTATTTAATTGACAAATATATAATATTTATATTTAAATAATTGAATCTAAAATATTCAGTTCATGATGGATGTTTTTCTTCTTATCTAAGTTTGTCCTCTTACAGATCTTAAAACTAGACAAATTGTTTAAACTTATGAGGCTATGTTACGTTAATTTTTAACAAGTTTTTTTACTCGACTTCACAAGGCTCAAAGTGCCCATAGTTGAAGAATGGCCCATATAAAGAATAAAACATACTAAAGACCCTATGGTGAAGGTTTGTTCTTTAGTCTTTTTTCTCTTTGCACTGTAAAATGTAATAAGTTGACCTTATTTAAAAAAGAAGAAACAGATTGCCTTTATTTTTAAGTCGTGTATTAATTTTAAATGAGCATAACTTAAAACTGTATTTACAACTTTTTAATAAAGTAAGCTTCAGTACCATTGACTCAAAAAAAAAAGAAAAAAAAAGTAAACCAAAGCACCCAGATGAAACCCACACCAACACAGGGAGAACATGCAAACTCTACACAGAAATGCCAACTGACCCAGCCATGACTCAACCAGCGACCTACTTGCTGTGAGGGTGGCAGCGCTACCCCCTGT